ATGAAGTAAAAGCAAAAAAAAACAATGCTACATAGCTAAACTAGGCATAATAGTAATACACAAGTGTTTGCAAAGTGATTATAAGTCTTTGTAAAACCGTTTTTTTTTCGTCAAAGCTCCTTTTGATACTGTTTCGGCAGTGTTCTTGTGAATTTTTTCTTTTTAACATCCAACAGAAGTCTGCCATCATCTTAACATTCCATCGATCTTGGTATCTGCGTTCCATTTCTTATATGCCTTGAAGGAACCGTTCTCCTTGTTCCTCACTTACAGCCGCTAGATTTTCGGGAGAGTAGTTCAGATGTGAGTGAAGGAAATGGACTTTGACACTCATGTTGCAGCTCAACATTTTGTAGTTTTGTATAAATTTAGCAACCAAAGTTTTGTACTTTGAGTCTTTTTTGTTTCCAAGAAAGCCTGTTATAACTAGTTTAAATGAATTCCAGGCTTTTTTTTTCATTCATTTCAATTTTAGTGACAAAGCTTTCATCTTTCAAAAGTTTTCTTATGTCAGGCCCAACGAAGACTCCTACTTTTAGTTCTGCATCAGATAGACCAGGAAACTTCAGAAAGATACTTGAAACAATCTCTTTCTTTGTCTAATGCTTTCATAAACTGTTTCATTAGCCCCAATGATGTATTTAACCAACGATGTCACAAATGACAGTATGCAATTGTTAAAGCAACTGTTTTTTATTTATCTGTAGAAACTACAGTGTTGAAAACACTTAACAGCAAACTAAAGAATTTTTAAAGGATAATGAAAAAGAGCCCGCATCTCGATAAAGAGTGTCTTTTTGAGAAAGTGCTAAGAGAATCTTCCAAAGAAAGGAAGGAAGAAATCAATTTGAAAATAAGTAACATTCATCATTTCAGTTCTGAATATCAATTTCCCTAGTACGCCTGTATCTCTCTTCGATACAGTCATCAGAATTGATTATGATTTCTGTTAGTCAATATTTTATTTCATTCCATATCAATATCGTTACATTAACCAATACATTTTAATGTTTTTTAGGTTTTTGCCACCAGACGTGCATTCTACATGCCTAACTAGATGCATACTTCAGCAATTCCTAATGACTGGAAGTGCACTCTATTATTATCCTGACCAGAAAAATAACTTGATATTCGTATCATGTACTTCAGAAACCACAAATATCATGATAAAATAATAATTGTTGATCATTGTGCAATGCAAAAAATGGATTGAATAGTTTTTGGTTTGTGTTTCAATATTAATGGAATTATAAATATAGAAACGGAAATTGTTTACTTTTACTCGAATTGCTGTTTTTTTACCATGGTTGATAATAACACTTCCAGAGATCAATAGGAGAGAGTGATCACAAATTCCATGGTTATGTACAAGCTCTGCAGCAAACTACTAACGACGTTCCAAAAGCGATGCCTCTGCGAAAGGGGCGATTTATGTTAGATTGTTTCAGTATAGTACCTAACTCCCATTTTTCAAAAATTTCACCTAGCGGGTCATAATATCGAGGTTCAATTGCTAAGTCATCACCAATATCAAGGGCAACATATCTATATGTATCATTTCTCAATTATACCGTTTCAAAGATACTTGAAATACAGTGTCATCAGTAAAGTTGGAAACATGGTTTTTTTATTACCATAAGGAGGTATAGTTAGATGTTTATTTGATAGCGCTTAGGTAGTTTCTTTTGAAAGTGGAAATAACTATCATTAAAACGGTTTTGGAGCAGAACGCATATCGAGAGGATTTTGTGGGAAGAGCTCTCATCGAAGGTGGTAAAAGTAATACACAATATACAGGGTGTTTCAAATTCGATCCTCACCATTGAGATCTCTGAAACTATGAGAGATACGAAGATGGTTAAATTGAGACAAAGTTGCGCATTTACCTGACTAACGATATGCCGTTAAGAAAATTCTGAAATTCTGAGAATATCCGGAGATATTCGGAAAAAACCAGAAAATTCGGGAAATGGTTTTTATTTTTTTCTGGCTTTATTTTTCAAAGAATTCGAAAATAATTTGCACTTCCACATTGCCACTTTTTCCCTACTACATATTGGTGTTTTCAGATTTTCTATCCGACGTTTCGTCTCCCGGCCACCATCATCAACTCTTTCTAATGGGCGCTACATTGGATTTTTTCTATTTTCAATAGAACCAGATTTTATCTTTTCAATGATGTATCAAAAGTTGTCATTCTATTTCGAAAAATTGGAGATATTGAAAAAAATTAATTCTTATCATAATAGGCTTTATCTTTGATGTTTCTATATTTGACTTTCAATTTGTTATACTCAATAACATTTTGTTAGTGTACAAGTCATTGAATTTTTGGCAAAAATGGCTTTCACGAACGAAGAGAAAAGAGATATGACACAAATTTATTACAAATACGATAAATACGCTGTTAGGACATCGGAAATGTATTTGAACTTGTATCCCGAAAGACGACAACTACATCGAACTATGTTCAAGTTATTGGATCAAAATCTCACCGAGTTCGGTTCATTTGAAAAGCCGAGGAAAAATACGGAGTCAGAATCAACAATCAAAATTTGATGAATGAGGTGTATATGAGGCAAGTTAGCCTCCCTTATTTACAAAGTTACGGCCCTTCAAAGTTCTGAAAAGGGCAAAATAAACAATTTAAAAACACAAGCATTCATTCACTAAGTCACCTTTACACCTTATTCCTCCTTCTTTGACACTTCTCGCTTCAATAATCAACATTTTTCTAATAAAAATGTTAAAAAATGTACGGAGCTGCTTTTTGGTTACATATCTCTGTATTTCACGTTTTTAAGGTTAATGGCATGGTTGTTACAACTGATGCAGTCCATATTCCTAAAGTAATTCAAATGTTTTTTACCTTCATTTTTTAGATCGTAAATTGTTTTTTGGTGGTGTATTACGAATTTGAAATAGTAGGCGGCGGCAAATACCAACTGCTTTTTTCTGAAATGTCACTAGTAACTAACCTAAAAATAGAATAATATCACCAGGAAAAGCATTCGTTTTTAAATTAAATTTTTTATAAGAAAAATGTTCATTATTGAAGTGAAAAGTGTCAAAGAAGGAGAAATAAGGTGTAAAGGTGACCTAATGAGTAGATGCTTGTATTTTTAAATAGTTTATTTTGTGAAAAAGAAGGCTGAAAAGTTGCCCTTTTCAGAACTTCGAAGGGCCGTAACTTTGTAAATAAGGAAGAGCGCCGCTTTTTTCTCTCGGATTCGTAATCTACGAATCAAAATACGTAATTACACGCAAACATTTTTTCAAAATCGCCGGGTGTCCTCAAAACGAAAATTTACCCTCCAATTTTTCGAAAAAGAATGATAACTTATGATACACCATTGAAAAGGTAAAATTTAGTTCTATTCAAAACTATAAGAATCCAATGTAGCACTCAGAAGAAAAAATAAAGTTGATGATGGTGGCCGGGAGCCGAGACGTCTGATATCAAATCTGGAAACACCATTGTGTTGCAGGAAAAAAGTGGCAATGTAGAAGTGCAATTTATTTTAGGACTCTTCGAAAAATAAAACCAGAAAAAAATAAAAACCATTTGCCGAAATTTCTGTTTTTTCCGGATATGTCCGGATATACTCGGAATTTCAGAACTTTCTCAACGGCATATTGAATTTGAAACACCCTGTATACATATTCCACAATAACTTGTTCGATTGACGGCCTATTTATTTTGTAGAAATTCATATTTCATATAGGATAAAGAAAATATCTTTCATCTGATGTCTACTAAGTGTTTTTATTCATCACGACCGGTTTTGGTTTGTTAAACCAAACTCAAGTAAACTGAAAATGGTTCAACAAACCGAAACCGGTCGTAACAAATGAAAAAAATAGTAGAAATCAGACGAAAGTTATCTGTTGTGGAATATGAGCAGTGCAGAATTCATTGGAATTATTCATTTCCCATGCCCAGGCTCATACCACCTAATAAACTTGATATTTTTATGTGAGGTCATTTGGAGCAGAACGTTTAAGGAAGTAGATCTTTGCCTGACATAAAGCATATGAAAAAACAATTGAAGAGTGCTGTGCACATATAAAATCCCAATTAAGGAATGCCGTTGAAGAATTATTCGGGAGGCCCTGAAGAACGACAAATTGAAATGTGAGCAGTGAATTTTTCAAAACTGTTGATTTTGTGATATTTAATGACGCACCAAATTTTATTTTCAGTCATATTTTTACTCCAAATCTATAACAGTTACATTCGATTTGAAAAATTTCCAATTTTTCATTTATCCCTATCGAACAAAAAGTCGACCTCTTACTGTTACAAAAAATGATGAAAATTGATATAAAAACTAATCTACGTGACATGTTGCCCAAAAAGAAGTGGGTATGAATATTTATTCTGATTTCAATGAATACGTTATTTCCCAAAAACGATAAAAACATTTCCAAATCAATGCAATTTATTATACGGCCATAATGTTGTGTAAGAATTGAGTTTTTTAGAAGACTTTTCTCAAATTTCTGTGGAGAAATGTCGTTTTTATTTTTTCTATTGTATCACCAACAGCATATGTAGGAATAACTTCAGTGAAGAATCCTGCACTGACACCTGTCCGATATAATCCTACGCCAGGGGAGTAGTTGTTTTCTGATAGGTGTCAGTCCATTACCCTACAGTGTAGGAAGTTGAGACTGGCCTGAACAAATTGTTCCTTTAGTTGACTTGAAGAAGCAAAGGACCTGAAAGCTACAAAAGTAGCTAGAGTTGAATTATTTTGGGTTGACATGTCTGCAAATCCTTTGTAGTCGAAATAACAGCAAATCTATCAAGGTATATGCTAATAATTGAGAATCACCCTGTAAAACATATTATTTAATTAACGTTTCATCTAAGAACTCTACAGAAAATTTTGGCAGATGAAAAGAAAATTTTCAAATAAAATTTCCCGTACTGTGTTCATTTTGAGTATCTGTTATTTGTACAAATCCTTTAATACCTATATTCAATAAATATGGGCTAAAGTATAAACAACTAACCGAAAAATTTATTGACACATTACGTACATTATATAATAATGAGATCACAATATTCAATCTTTGTTGATTGCGCTGATCATCAAAGATACTCTTTGGTTGGCACCGCATCCAACAGTGTTCTGGATGTAATCGGGGAAGTTGCTCTCCAATACACGAATCCTCCTCCTGGACACATCCGGGATGGCGTGGGTGGCGAGGTAACTTTCCGGGGATTTGTAAACAACCTTGTAACCGGTGAAGCAAGGTCCTACCTCCCATCTGTAAACTTCCCGCTCACCCTCGAATCTGAAGAAGAGGGCATTTCCGAGATCAGTTCCAAGGACGACGATTTTGTTTTCTTTTTTGCCAAGATCTTGGATCTTGCCAGCTGCGCAGCCTGCTCTTAGGTACTCGGTACGGATCTGGAAGATTCTGGCACCGGACAAGTATGTGATGATCAGTTGGTTGTTGTTGCAGCCAGCTCTGTGGACTAGAGCGATATAGAGGACATCTCTTCTGCAGTTAGCAACAACTTTGGGTAAGACTACTCTGTATCCTCTGTTTCCAGCAACGTCGAAGACAAGGATGGATCTAGTAGCGGCATCACTAACATAGACGAAGGGCCTGCCATCAGGAGCGTATTCAACAACCAAGTATTGCAAACGAGAGGCTTGAGCAACCAGTCCACAGAGGTCCAAGGTTTTGACCTTCTTTCCGTTCAGAACGTTGATTCCTATCACCCTTGGGGGCATCCTACGCAGGGGCTGTTCCAAAGAGTTGACAACACCAGTATCCAGAACCCAAAGGATATTGTTTTCATCCAGATAGAGATCCACAACGGACTGAAGGGCATTACAGTCTCCTTCTTCTTGAGAAGCCCAACAGGGGAAGGGGGTGAGGATGGCTTCAGCTCCCCTCTGTTTCAGTCCTATTCTGGCTAGGGTGACTGGCACACCGGGTTTGTATCTTGGCAGAGCTACGAAGATGTCATCTTTGAAGATTTGTGCTCTTGTGGCGATGATGTGCTTGGGGATATACCGGCCTGATGATTTGTAGATTGATTTTGTTGCTTCGTTGGGCCAGTCGAATTGACCTCCGGTCCATTCAATCAGGTCGCAGGTATTTTGTGCATCTACGTAGAGTAATGCCAAGGTCAGAACCAGAACTCCCCTGAAGATCATTTTTCTGAAATACAAAATGAGTCTGTTATTATTTATGAATATTACAGTTGGTACTGATAATGCAGGTTATGCTTCCTTGGTAATAGCAGAAAGTCACCTGCGGAACCTTCAAGAAGTAGCAAAAGATCTAGTAGAAGTTGAAGATTGAAACTAGCCAAAAAATAATATTGTTTTTTTGGTTGGTTTTGGTTTGGTTTTTTTGGTGAGGTTTCAACTCACACTGAACGATTGTATTTTTTCAATTTATCTATATTTGTTCTGGAAAGAAGTATTAGAATTATTATATTTAGACTTCAGAGAGTATTTCTAGAGAGTTTCCAATTGGTTTATAGTCGAATAACTAATTAGTGTTTGGACTAACCAAGTTTTACTTGAATGTACTAAAAGATAATAGCGATAAAAACCGGTTTCACAAGAAGAAAGTCAGAATGAAACGGAATAACTCAGTGGTGATCCACAGGTAATCTAGTTTTGGAGTGTTGTTTGATGCGCCAAACATTGGATGTTTTCGTTCTTCCCTATCTTCTAGGGAGGGTTACAAGTGTTGCAGTGTTTCTTCCAAATAGATTACTAAAAATTCATTGGAGTCTGATAGCAATCACTCACTGTGACCTTTCAGGTATGATGTTTTTAAGATTGACTATAGGACTTGATATACACGAACATTTTTCCAAATAAAACCGGCACTGAACCAAATGACATTTGAGTGTACTGAGTTTAGGTGGGTACATAAAGTATCTCGAATATCTTTCAACTCAGTTATCTATTTTTTATCAAAGACAATGAGTTCTGACTTTGATGTTATTGAAGGAGAACGTTGAAACATTTCTACAACCCCTTATTTTTTTAATGGCTAATCTACTCATAAGCAGATTTGAAGAGGAAGCAGGAGAAGAACTTGGATACGACACGTGGATGATGTATTTACCAATTCTGTTACGAATAAGGTGAGGTGAAGGATTTTGTATCTGGTCTTAACAACAGATCCACGAATATGTATTGCACGTATGGAATTGAAGATAATGAAGACCTTCCATTCCTGAATATTCGAGTTATGAAAAATGCCGATAATGATTTGGAATTCGATGTGTATAGAAAGAAAACTGATGAATCCCTAACAGTTCTGTTGTCCTTAACAAAAAATGACAGGACTACATTTTCGTCTCCATAGGACAGTCACGATATCGTTGAGCAAAGAAAGATACGACTTCGACAGAAAGGTTATCAAGTAGATAGCTAAAAATAATGGGTATCCTTGAAACATAGTTAATTAGGAAAAAAAGTAGAGAGTAAAAAGACAATGACTTGAATTCCATAAGTTCTTCAAACCAACTAAAATACACCAAGGGATTGTTTCAAATTGATTGAAGTGGCTTCCAAAACTGTTGGGCAAAACTGTTGGGCATTTCGAAAGACAAAGGAAATAGAAAAGCCTGAGATTCACGAAATTAGCTGTGAGGATTGCTATAAAAGATATGTTGGTCCAACTGAGCTGACTATGTTTACTTGAAAAAAGTTTAACAAACAGAAACCGGTCGTAAAAAATGAAAACTCAGTAGAAATCAGACAAAAGTTATTTTCTTTATCCTATATTCAATAAGAAGTTCTACAAAGTGAATAGGTCATCAATCGAACAAGTATGATGATGTTCCACGGAAGTGATATTTTATATCGATCCTTTTTTATATATCACATTGTGTAAGGTTCTCATGAGTGATATCTGTTTCAATTCCATAATTAATTGAATGGAAAGAGTGATTCTCGTGTAATTCTTATGAAAGTACTCGTATGTTTTTTTCAGTTTGTATCCCAAAAAGACTGCTGCGTGTATGCTCTACATTTCTGTACAAATATTTTTCAATGCACTCATTTTCTTTCTTCTTTTCTTTGGAAGTTTCTCACGTTTGTCGGTTAATGCATAGAGAAGTAGAGAGAAAAAAGGCTTCTTTCTACACATCATTAGTATTGTGGGTGAAAATTAAGTTGAACTTCAAGAATAATAATAATGATGAACGTATTCCATTTTCTGAGGAAGCAAAGCATGTAATAACAAAATGAAGTTATCTGTCATATGAAAAAAACCAAGTGAATTTTATAGGCAAACTCACGTACAAAATGATGAAAAAATAAATGAGGTGAAAGAATACCTAATAATTAGACAACACGAATCAAGTTCAGGACTGGAAATATTGAAAATGGGTATTAATAATCTCTCACGAACTATAATAGGGTCTACCACTTAATATACTACTCTGTTCAAAATATGAGACGAATTTTCATTTATCTCAGGAGTTTATTTATCAATTTCGATTTTGCCCCCTTCAAAGTATTCCCGCTCAGATATAAGACACTTCTGTCATCTACAAAGCCGTTCTGATATTCACTTTTCGGTATGTCCTTGAGCTGTCTCAACGATTCGGTTTTTATCCCCTCAGTCGTCGTAAAACGCCTTCCTTTTATGGGTCTCTTCAATCTTGGGAAAAGGAAAAAGTCGCAGGGGAACAAATCTGGTGAATACGGTGGCTGAGGCATGATTAGGGTGTTGTTTTTCGTCAACAAATTACTAACAAGCAATGACAAGTGTATTATCGGGATCTATACGCCATGAATTGTTTTTCTATGACACAGGACATTTTCTTCGTATTACTTCTCGCAAGCGGCGTATATCTTCAAGATAATACTCCTTATGGACAGTACGATCATGCAGCAAGAACTCATACGCCAAGGTAATTGAAGAAAACAGTGAGCAAAACCTTGACAATTGACTCGAACTTGGCGTCCTTTCTCCTGGGCTCTTCCCTTGGGACGATGGGACTTTGGTTTCGATGTCATAACCATATACCCATGATTTGTCACCAGTTATGATACTTTCGAGCAAATCTGGATCACCTTTGTCGTCGTCAAACAGTTTCTGGGCGATGCTTCTGCAACGTTTCTCTAATAGTGGTTGGATGATTCTCCATAAAATTTTTCTTCACTTTCTCAACATTTTCATCGGTTGTTGATGTGCTGAAGCGTTCAGGGCAGGCGTCGTGATTCACATCTTCTCGACATTCTGTGAAAAGTTTGTACCGCTTTTACTTACGCAGGAGTAACCTTGGTCGACACAGTCGAAAGCCTTTGCCAGGTAGCAGAACAACGGCGTGGCAATATCACCAATATTAATATCGGAATACAACTCATGTAAAAAAACATCTCTTTAGGTTTCATTCTTATTTGTATACCAGACAAACCTCAAGAAAAAGATGAAAGAAAATGCTGATATCCAATGTTATTCGAATTTCCACCAACTGTGTCGATTTTGACAAAACAAACACTTGAGTTGTCAAAATTAGAAACAATTTGAAGACTTTGTGCCGCGGGCGACTATTTTTGTCAACAATGAAATGTCCGTCGGCAAGCGGAAAGATAAAACGGTTTTGGGTTTTCTATCTGTGTTTTTTTAACTGGGTTCGCTATGTGAAAACGTTTGGCGACATCATTACTTTATTTAAAGTGTTAATCTGTGGTGGGTATACATTTAGATTACCGGCACAAGGCAGGCTATTTTTATTGAATTATTGTATTGTTGTTTATCTGAAACAACAATGTGATTTAATTTTCCCTCAAAGGACATGAATGAAAAAAAACAATGGAAAGTTGAAGAATGCAACAATTTAATTGCTGTTCGTGTAGTGAAAACGATAGAAAACAGTTCACAATAATACACGCGTCTCACACTAGTTTTTGTTTGTTTGGTGGAATTGATGTTTCGAGTTTGTTTTCGAAACTGAAACAAGTTTTTTGAAAATTAAGTCAGTCACAAGCGAGTCCGCTTGTTAGAAATCTGCCTTAACAGACGCATACAAAAAAATGATTTGAAGGCAATCAAAAAAACATCTTCAAAAAGATCTACTGAAAAAATATAGGCAAATGCAAAAAGATGGAAGGAACTATAAGTTTGGAAAATGAAATACTTGTCAGGGGTTGAAAATTTCAAAAATCGAGGCTAGTAAGCCACGATGGTATCAAAGACATTCTTCAAAAGAGAATTAATTCTTCTCACTTCCACACCGATTAAACTAATTCTGAATTCAGTCGATTCATAGCTAACTTTGTTTTTATGCCAAGAAACACATTTTCAACAATAGAGGTTAACGCATCGAAAGTGCTTTTTGCATGACTTGCGTTTCAAGGCGTGCAATTTGCTGTCGCCAAAGAAATCACTCCAGAATGCTTATTGCGAAATATTTGTTGAACCGAACAATTCACTAGTAGCACACATTCCTTCTGGGTGTTTGCATATGAAATTTGATAGTAGGTGTTTCATTTCTGAATACGATACACCACTGTTAACTGTTGTTATATAAAATCATACGATTTATTTTACTGGTTCAGTGAAAAATCTGAAGCGGTTTAATTCACATTTTGCATGGATAATCTGTTTCTGGAAGTAGGAATGAGGGAAAATCATGGTTCCAATAGAAATATCAGTAACCCATTACAATTGATTTCCCATTTGGAAACTGAATATTCATTTATACATCACTAGTATTATCCATGAACTCAATAATATGCAAAAATCAAATAGACTTTCATTTTGAAATGACAAGAAGGAAGGGCCTTGACTGCTCAAACTTTTCGAAATTATTTTTGAAGGACTTTTTTTGTGGAATGGTCAGTGTTCCTCACTGTTTTTTGAGTTTATAACCCTTCACAATCTGGAACATAAACGAAGCTCATTCAGACAATCTTTTGTAGAGTATGTATAAGAGAATGTAAGAGAACTGAAGAGTTCATTTAGAAAATTTACTGTAGAACCACTGAAGAGTCTAACCAATCAGTAACTTTTGTTCATGAATTTAGCCTACAAACTGGATGAAATTAATGAAAAAAATGAAATTTCTATACTCAGCTTCCTTTGGACGACTGTGATTCCAAAAAACAATTACTATCTGTGCTTAAAACACTATAAATTCACTTGTAACGAACACCTCAATCATAATATGACACTTGATAATATACAGAAACACACCCACAAGATGTGAACTTTTTTTGTTTGCCTTTTGTTACACTTTAGCATATTTTATGACTTAAATGTGTTTATTTTTCAGAAGTGGAAAGTAATGAACCCAAAAAACCATAAAAAAACATTTACAAAGTTGCTAAAAAAACGGTTATGGCTTTTTACTTCTTCATCTGCTTATGAAAATGTGTGAAACTTTCAGATTGACTTGAAAGTAGGTAAATTATTTCAAAATAAACTCTTCACAACGATGTGAAGATTTTGCAAGTAAGTAATTTTCAGACACAAACTGGAAATAAAATCCTTTTCGAAACAATTTCTTTTATATAAACATTGAAGTATACTTTTTCTTATTCTGTTTGTATGCTAAACATTCGTCACAGAATTAATTCAGATATCATTCACAGAATTGCTATACAATATAAAGTATATGAAAGCGGTAAAATATCACTTACATGGAAAACTGTCACCTTCAATGACGGACATTAATGTTTCGGAATGCATTATTGCTTTTCAGTACCAATCTGAATAACATCACAAGATGAAACACTCGATCAATCCATAACAGTATGACATCATGTCACGGATGAGTTGAATCTACTCATGTCAAGTTGACAGTACGTAGTGACATTCACACGCCAAAACGTTACTTTCCCAAAAACTGATCTCTCCTTAAAATATTCCCCTCTTATTCTTCACAAAGTTGATTCTCAAGTACTGGAATCATTGAAATCTGTATTTGATGCAGCTTCTGATGTAATTTCTGCTCGAGTGTGATATACTCGTAAACTTGTTAATCTTTTGTGAAGGAATCATTATGACAGCTGGCAGCTGACAGCTATTTGATCGCAGAATTGAGAGGATATAACAAAGAGAAGGGAATTTCAACTAGTTAGAAGACAGAAGTAACTATACTTGTTTCCATTTTGAAAGAAGACTCTACCAAGTCATGAATACATTTGCTGTATAATATTATCCTGAAGCGATATATTTTGCGAAGGCATATTTGGAGATTATGTGTGAGTAGGCAGATAGGCACCAAATAAGTGGCTATATTAAAACCCTGCACCGCCATATCAATTATTTATTGTTGTTGAGTTTTCTTATTGAGATTAGTTTTCTAGCAGTTTACTACTGAATTGGACGTTATTTGAAAGCACTTTGACTAGACAATTCTTCCAGATCCATTTGGCTATTCAAGAATGTTTCTATCGATTTGGGTGTATGAAGGTATTTTTGATCTATCTGCTTTTAGTATTTGAGCGCAGGTGTGGAGAAGCTGATATATAAAATGGTGAAATTTCTGTTCAAACATTTCAACCTCACTTTTTAGACATTTCTGTCACTTGTCAATTCAATATTTCAAAATGAGGTATACTTTCTGAAATATAAACAGTATTCAGAGAGAATCAGGACAAACACCTTTGAAATAGAGGTGAATATAGATTGAAAAACAAAGAACTGATTTATAGTTATCAATCCATGTGTGATTCACCGATTTGTCATTGTTAATATTTCATACAATGAAATGAAAGAACCGATTGTAAATTGAAATGAATTGATTTTTGACTTGCTATACGAGTAGTACCAAGAAACTGCTCACAGTTTCCTTCAAATTTTGATAGGAATACTTCAGCAATATCCAGAAGAATAAATGAACCGAATGATGAGCAATGTACATAACGTTAGTAATTGGAATATTGTTAGGTTAGAAATGGCATAGTCGATTAGAAATTGGCATACACCAATGAGCATGACAAGTACTGTTTAAAAAGATTAAGACTTTTTCAAAAATTCTTTTTCATTTTGATCTACTGAAATCACATGAGACCAAGAATCTACTTTTGATTGTTGTGTGTTTTTTCAGATGTAGGTTATAAGTTTCATCAGAAATAGAAACACGTACCTGAAAAACCAACGAAAGCAGTTTGGAAAGGTAGTAAATTCAAAACATTTTTCAGTATATAGCGATGTTACATGATAAAAATCTCGAGTTAAACTGGAAACCTCTTTATGTTCTTTCAATCTGGTTGGAAATATTGGACGAACCCCTGTCTAAACTTCACGTGGGCATCGTGATTATCATTATTTTGATGACACAAATTATAGAGATAGAAGTAAACAGTATAACGTTATTTTGACGACCGGACACAGAAAAAAAAAACAATTAATCACGAGTTCTAAAGAAGTTGTTCCGTTTTTGACCGTCAAAATTCGTAAGAGCTGAAGATTACAACTTGTAGAATTTCACTATTTTCCAAGCGCTACAGTGTTGAGATTTTATGTTAAAAGCAACAATACACATGGACTCCATCCTGGAAGGCAGATATTTTGATTTTTTTGGAGTTATTAATCGGTTAGTTTCAGAAGAATAATTAAAATCAAATTTATACATCGGCCTGTCTTTTGATGCAAGTACATTATGCCATAAGTTGATGGTATAGATGAATATATATCAAGCAAAATCGAAATCGGTAGTGTGATATATTACAATGAAAAACTATCAATCAATTCGATGAAGTTTGAAAGACCGAAAAGTCCTGAATTATTTCTGAATTAATTGCCACTGAGGTGAAGTAATGTGAGGTATTTTATTCAATTTTGGTAATTATCAGCGGTTATGATTATTTGCCTGGAAAAGAACCTTGAATTTGCAAGCCTCCGCATTTCAAATTATAACCTCCATTTCATAGTATGTGGGGTATAAGTTTTTGTATTTTTTAACATATATTTCTATACTTAGGTTGTAAGCAGATGAAATGTAATTATTTGACAACACCGGCATCATAAATTGCAGTTTTTACAAACAGGCATACAAATTATTTGGTGAGAATTCGTGTCAAAATAGATGGCGATAAAACTTTTTAAACCCTTAGAATATCAAATTCTTCGGATCACAAAGAAAAATAAATATAATGCCACAGTTGGGGACAATTTTAATAGAGGTGCTGAAACAGCAAAGAGAAGTTAGGATTATCAAGATGAATATTCCAAGTAGCTGAGGTAGATACAACTATTATTGTTTTTGTATCTTTGACATTGACAAGTATGGTCGTTAAAATCGTGTTCTGATAGGTTTCAGTAATATGATGGAATTGAAGATAATATTAGGTTTATCTACAGCAGAACATGAAAGACATCACAGACAATTATTCCTTGGTTCAGCAATCAGATCGGTTGAATACTCAAATAAGACTCAGAGATATATTGAAGAAAGTTGAGGAATAATTGTAAATTTTTTTGGCATATTTCAGAGTACTAAACAAAGGAAGCTAACAAGAAGATAACCTGTGAGACTGAATTTAGGAGAATAGACTGAGCAAGAGAGCATGAAATGAACATCCATGAACTCAGAGAAACAGCTTCAAGCTTTACTCACCCTCAAATTAGGTAAACAGGTAAACTCAAGTACATTTTCTGCTCATCGTGAATTTGAAAAACCGTAATGCGGAGAGTTGGACAAATAGATGGTCAAATATTCGTTCAGTTAGTATCGATATAGTTCAATGATTTCTTTTCACAAAACAAAATTTTTCGTGCATAATGAATCACAAAATAGCTTACCTTGCACAAAACAAGAATGAAATGACATGAAAGGTAGCAAGCTGATTGACTTTATATATTTGGAGTTTTGTTTAACAAACATGGGTTCGATTTACTACAAAAACGTGATAAAAAGGAAATGATCAAGAGAGTATGGTAGAATGGAATGTTTATTGTTGAAAATATTCATTTGAAATAATAGAATAGCAGAGATTTGTACACAGAAAAAGGGGTTCGGGTATTGTGGTTCCGGAAGAGATTCAAATGATTTGAAAGCTACTGAAGGGTTACTCATAATTCAACTAAGCAAGACATGTTGCTCTAACATCCCTATGCAGTACAGTATTATTGTTTCGACATTATGCAATAAACAGAACTTGATGTTGTCCAGATATATTTGAGGAAAGCGAAAGCTTTCTTGAACTCGCATTTTAGACTAGGAAGTAAGACTATGAGAACATTGTCAAAATCAATTATCAAAGCGAAGATATACTACAGGAAATGAAAATAAAGATATCGGTGAAGTTGATGATGAAGTGGAAAAAAAATGCGATGAAATTATCACAAACACGGGGGGAATGCCATTTCTTCAAACACTTCAGAAGTAGGGAAGATTTGTACAGAGTGGGCCAAATTGGATGGCTGTCTTTAAGTGTCAAATTATATGACAAACGTAATGGTGGAAACCGCATGTCGATATCTATCATCCTTTCTGAATAACATCATATTTTTCACAAAATGTGCATTTTTGAAAAGTTGCGGTAACTTTTTTCCTGTCAAAAATTTCTTATTTCCATGAAAACACTTCCGAATAACTTTTTTACGTAGAATTCAGTGGTGTGAAAAACTAATTTTTTCAAACGAGACATCAATAGTTATTGCTAAAAATACTATAGAGAAGAAAATTGATAGGAATAAAATGAAACGTAATAATAATAATAATAGCTTTAATGTCCAACAGTTACCCATTTACAGGACAATATAATTATTCACAATACTTAACCATAAACGAAAAATAAAATGAACGAAAAAGAAAAACTAATTCTAACTACCTACTTCAAGTACATGTTAGCAATTCTAATAATGTTGTGAAGGTTACTGAAGAATGAATCACCATGGGCACAAATGCTATTGAAATTTGTGCACATAACATATATTGGGGAATTCAACATAATGTTAGTTCTTGCTCTAAGAGGTCTACAAATGGATTGAGATCGTGAAGCTGGTCGTGGTACATTGAAGCTAATTTGTTTAAAAATTTCAGGACAGTCAACTCTCTCATTCACTAACTTGAATAAAAATATGAGCGACGCACATTTTCTGCGATGCTCTAAACTAAAAAGTTCCAAACGTTTATATATGGCATCATTACTAATACCTCTCTCAGGGTGAGAACCATCTATTTTGAAAATTATAAATTTGCAAAATTTTCTTTGAACTTTTTCTAGGGATATGTTATGAATCTCATAGAATGGACTTGCATATTCTATCTTCGAACGTACGTAGGTGAAATACAACAGCTTCACGGCTTTAATATTATGAAAGTTTCTGCAATTTCTAACAATGAAACCATAAGCTCTGGAAGATTCTGAAGCTTTTTGTGAAATATGTCTACCAAATGTTAATTTATGATCGAATATTACCCCCAAGTCTTTGATCTCATTACATCTCAGCAGATCTGAATCCTATATGACATACGGAAATGTATAAACCTTTTTTTTTACTTTAACTCACTACTTCACATTTCTTCACATTGAGTTTCAATTCATTATTGCTACACCAAGCAACAAGAAATTTTAATTGAGATCGAAGATTTACACAATCACCTACTTCCTTCAATATAGAAAATAATTTCAAGTCATCCGCGAGGCATAACCGCTCACAAGCTAAACTTTTACATAGGTCATTAAAAAACAATAAAAACAAAAGAGGACCTATGTTGGAGCCCTGAGGCACACCAGAAAAAGCCATATATGTTCTAGATTTATAACCGTTATAGGAGACGAATTGTTTTCTACATGTCAGATAGGATTGCATCAGCTGACAGGCAGTATTCGCGAAAACCAAAACTCATCAGTTTATTGAGCAAGATACCATGATCAATTTTATCAAATGCTTTAGAGAAATCTGTGTATATAACATCAACTTGGCCATTGTTATCTAATGCATCGGAAATAAATTGAGTAATAATGACTAGATTTGCAACAGTTAGAACGCTTGGTAACAAATCTATGTTGATGTTGAGATAGTTGCCTTTGAACAGAAGCAAAGGTACAGTTTTAGGACCGATACTCTTCTCCATTTATATAAAAGACTTATTATTGTCAAACATGTCAACAGGAAACATTATCAGCTTCGCCGACAACACTGCTATCCTCTATACAGATCAAACATGGGACACATCAAAAAACAAAGTAGAAGCGGATCTGTTAATCATATTCAGTTGGTTCAGTCAAAAAATATTAACTGTCAATTTTGAAAAAACATTTTCATCCCATTTGCCGACAATAAAAGCACACTACGCAATTTTGATAATTTGAACGTGGAACATAACGGAAATATGGAAGTAATACATTCGCGAAACGACAAAAAATACTTAGGAGTAACAATAGATAAACACCTACGCTGGGATATTCACATAACGATTATAACGAACACATTAAGATGCTTATTGTATAGATTCAGAAAATTGAAAAACATACTTTACATTACTTACCTAAAAATGATATACCACGCTCTCGTTCAGTCAAGGCTACGCCATTCTCAGCTGGGGTGGTTCAGTTAAAACCCATTTGAATCAGTTGGATGTCCTCCAAAAAAGAATTTTGAAAATAATCTGTGGCAAAAAAACAACTACTCCTTCAATATACTATTCCATGAAACAGGTATACTCGACCTCAGACATCTGTTTATGCATCAAATAATCATATACATCTACAAAAACAAATCTGTACTCAAAAAAATCAAACAAATGTCCAAACAATACAAACAAAAAGAAATGTGGTAATACGAAACTTCACTTATCTATCATCTAAAATATTCAATCACTCACCGGAAACATTCAAAACACATCTTACTTCATACTATTCGCTGAATATGATAAAAAGAATATTCAAAAAATTCATTGTTCAACTTGGAAGAGATACAGTACGCTTCTTGATCGAAAGTTAACAAAAGCAGCCAATAACAAGCTTACCTACCATTTCCAATTCACTTACCAATTAAACCAATCAATCTAGAATGTTCCAACATAGTTATAAGATTTTAATCAATTCAACGTATCCATACTGTTTCAAAGTAGCTATAAGTTTTAACTGAAAAAATCACTTTTATCATAAATTAGTTTTTAATGTCTATACCCGTACAAGTAGCACAAGTGTTAGCAATGCAAGAACCGGAAACCCTTCCACGCACAACCAAATCTGTTTTAGTGGAATTCATCCTGCCCTTGTTTATTGTCTGATGTGACTGAATGTCCATCGTATTTTGTATTTTGAGATTGCCAATAAACATTGTTATATTATATTATATTATATTAATGGAAACCTTTTTTTTATGGGACACCCTGTATATTGTTGTATATTTCAATAGAGGTTAAACTTACTTTTAAAAAATGTAGCATACTTGATGTTATGCTAGAGTCATCCTTGAAATAAAGAGCTTTTAGGTTTTTCATGTAGACTTTGGAACACACAACTTTGATCTCATTCTCATTCTATTGTGGAGTAGAGAAGTCAAAGAAAATTTAGATTCAGTGTATGAGCAGGTGTTTGTAGGGGTAGAATTATCGACCCGTTTTATAATGGCACTCTCATATCTCAGAGTCATTTGGAAATTTTAAGGCAAAATATCCAACCCCTTGTTGATGAAATGCCTCTGATGGAGCTCAGATAAATATATTCGCAACAAGACGGGGCTTCTCCTTACAACACTGCAATTGTCACTGATTTCTTGGCTGCAAACTCTGGTAATAATTGGATAACCAACCAAGGACCCAAGCGTTGGCCGGCTAGGTCACCGGATCTAACGCCTATGGATGTTTACCTTTGGGGAACGTTGAAAGAGCATTTTTCAAATTGCCGACCAATTCTTGATACGAATTGGAAGCGGCAGTGATGCAAAGTTTTGCTTTCCTCACTGCTATTGAACTAATTAATTCGGCAAAGAATGTTCAGAAAAGGTGTCGCCTGTGTGGAAAAGCTGGTAGACATTTTGAACACCTTCTTTGAAGAAATATATTTCATTGTTGGTTCTTTATCATTATTATTTGTGTTGAAGTTTTATATATTAGTAGTGAATAATAGGTAGTAT